CCCCCCCACGCTCCCCCCCCAAGGCTTTTTCCTGCCAGAGCAAACCCTGGGCTTTTAATGAGCTTAATGAAGGCCGGGATTTAACGAAAGGGCTGGCGGACTCTTTCCCAAGGAGCTCCTTTCCCGGGGGGGGGACCCAGAGCAGCAAAGTAAGCACATTTCCACCCATTTTGGGTACGGGGAAAACGCCGGATGCTCCTATTTTAAAATATTTGTCTTTTTTTTTTTTACTATTTTCCTTTATTTTCCTCATTTTCCCTCCCCCTTCCCCTCCCGCCAAGAGGTTGGTTGGGTTTATTTACAAAACCCTTCATGGCGTTGCCGGGAGGGGGGGGGGAACCAATTGTAAAATCGCTGCAAATTTGCAATTATGGTCACAAAACTGCTGCAAATTTGCAATTGTGATCACAAAACTGCTGCAGATTTTCAACTGTGATCACAAAACCACAAGTTTAAAATTGCAATTGTAACATCGGGGCAAATTTGCAATTATGGTCACAAAACCTCTGCAGATTTGCAATTGTGATCCCAAAAATGCTGCAAATTTGCAATTGTGGTCAGAAAACTTCTGCAGATTTACAATTGTGATGCCAAAACTGCTGCAAATCAGCAGTTTTGATCACAGCGATTTTACAATTGCAATTTTAAACTTGTGGTGGTTTTGTGATCACAATTGAAAATTTGCACCGGGTTTGGGATCACAACTGCAGATTTGCAGCAGTTTTTGTGATCAAAACTGCAAATTTGCAGTGGTTTTGGGATCACAATTGTAAAATTACAGCGGTTTTACAATTGCACGTATAAATTTGCGGAGGTTTTTGTGATCACAGTTGCAAATTTGCAAAGGTTTTTGTTATCACGCTTGCAAATTTGTGGTGGATTTGGGATCACAATTGTAAATCTGCAGAGGTTTTCTGACCACAATTGCAAATTTGCAGCAATTTTACAATTGCAATTATAAATTTGTGGGCGTTTTGTGATCACAATTGCAAATTTGCAGTGATTTTACAATTGCAGTTATAAATTTGCAGCGGTTTTGGGATCACAATTGCAGATTTGCAGCAGTTTGAGGATTGCAGCTGCAAATCTGCAGCACTTTTGTGATGGCAACTGCAAAACTGCAGCAGTTTCACAATCAGAAACACAGATTTGCAGCGCTTTGATGGTCATCACTGCAAATTTGAGGCAGTTTTGCAATTGCAGCTATAAATCTACAGCAGTTTTGTGATGGCTACTGCAAACCTGCAGCGGTTTCACAATCAGAAACACAGACTTGCAGCGGCTTAATAATCATCAGTGCAAATTTGAGGCAGTTTTATGATTGCAGCTGTAAATCTGCAGGGGTTTTGAAATCACAGCTGCAAATCTGCAGTGGTTTTATGAGTGCAAACACAAACTTGTGGCAGTTTTGCACTTGCAGGTGCAAATCCACAGCCGTTTTGTGGTTGCAAACCCAAATCTGCAGCACTTTTGTGATCAGAAACACAAACTTGCAGCGGCTTAATAATCATCACTGCAAATTTGAGGCAGTTTTGCGATTGCAACTATAAATCTGCAGAGGTTTTGAGATTGCAGCTGCAAATCTGCAGCGGTTTTATGATTGCAAACACAAATTTGCAGCGGTTTAATAATCATCACTGCAAATTTCAGGCAGTTTTATGATTGCAGCTATAAATCTGCAGCACTTTTGTGATGGCAACTGCAAACCTGCAGCAGTTTTGTGATCAGAAACACAAATTTGCAGCACTTTGATGGTCATCACTGCAAATTTCAGGCAGTTTTATGATTGCAGCTATAAATCTGCAGCACTTTTGTGATGGCAACTGCAAACCTGCAGCAGTTTTGTGATCAGAAACACAAATTTGCAGCACTTTGATGGTCATCACTGCAAATTTGAGGCGGTTTTGTGATTGCAGCTGTAAACGTGCAGCAGTCCTGCGATGGCAGGTGCAGTTCTGTCGTGCATCTCACCATCGCAGCTGCAAATTTGCAGGGGTTTTGTGATGGCAACTGCGAATTTCCCGTGGAAACACAACTCTGCAGTGGTTTTCCCACTCCGAGCGTGTTTGCCGTGGGCTCTGCCATTTGCAAATGTGAATTTGTGGCCTTTTTGTGGCTGCAAACGGCATCTCCCAGTTGCAGGAGGCGAAGAATTTGCATCTGGGGGGAAAAAAAGTGCTTTTTGTGTCCACAGCCGAGCGCGGGGTGGGGGTGGGAAGGCTCAACCCAACTCTGTTGAAGGAACAAAAGGCGTCTTGGCTCCATCCCGGGGTTGGATCCCAATCCCAGGGCCAGCTCCCAATCCCGCTGCTTTCGGGAGGCGTCCTGAGCCCCGTTCCCCCCTCCCCGTCCCGCAGCCGCCGTCGCGGGGGCCATGTCCTCGCTGCTGTCCCTCCAGGAGGAGAACCGCATCCTGCAGCAGGAGCTGTCGCGCGTGGAGGACCTGCTGGCCCAGAGCCGAGCCGAGCGCGATGAGTTGGCCATCAAGTACAACGCCATCAGCGAGCGGGTGAGTCCCATCCCCCTTTCCCCCCCAGTTTAACCCCCAAATCCAGCCGTTTTAACCCCAAAATCAAGCAGTGCAAGCTGCCTCCTTTGCATTCCCCCCTGCTCGGAGATGGAGACGCCGTGATGTCCCATCGATGGGAATTTTGGTGCATCCAACTCAACTTGTCCGGACCCGTCCTGGCTTGTTGGGGCTTGTTCTGTGGGATTCACAAAGAATTCTACACACACACACACCCTTCATCCTTTTTTTATTTATCCCGCTGCTTTTCGGGAAGCGTCGGCATCCCTCGCCGTCGCCATGGCAACGGGGGAATCAAAAAGGGCTTTGGGCAACGGCCAAGCGCTGAAGAGATCTTGGGGAGATCCAAATCAAGGGGCTTTTTTGGGGTGGGCAGCCCCTCTCTTTGTGCCTGGTTATTAAAAAAAATAAATAAAATAGGCAAATATCAGGAAAATACCCCAAAGGGAATGGCCACCACTGAGCCTGAGGATGCTTTACCCATTGGCAAGATGGGATGGGGTTGGGAGTTGGACTCCAAGTTGGGTTCTTTTTAAAAACACCCCAAATTTTCCCCACCTTGTGCCGAGGATGCTTTACCCATCGGTTCATCCTCTGCAAGATGGGATGGGGTTTTGCTGGACCCCTGGACTCCAAGTTGGGTTCTTTTTAAAAGCACCCCCACATTTTCCCCACACTGTGCATGCAATGAGGGGGGGTGCAAAATTTAGGGGGGGTAGGGGGTGTCTCATCTTCAGCCCTAGGTGGGTTTTGCTGTAGGACCCCCCCGGAGAGATGCCTTTATCTGGGCTGGGGGTGCTGCGAGTGGGGTGGGAGGATGCTTGGCCGGGGTGGGGGGGAAGTGGGGGTGGTGTTTAGCATCCCAAGGTGACCCGGGGTCTCCTGCATCCCCCTCCCCAGCTGGAGCAAACCCTGCGGCTGGAGACGGGCGAGCGGGAGGCGGCGGAGAGCCGGAGCCTGGCCCAGCACAACATCGAGCTGCGGCGGCTGCTGGAGGAGGAACAAGCGGCCTACAAGCGCAAGCTTCAGGCCTACCAGGAGGGTCAGCAGCGGCAAGCCCAGCTGGTGCAGAAGCTCCAAGCCAAGGTAGATCCTTCCCCCCCGGGGGACACAGGGACGTTTTGGTGACCCCAGGGGTCAGTACGGGGTCTGGTCCTCTTCAATATGGTCATCGAGGACCTGGGTGAAGGGGTGGAATGGGCACTCCACAGCAGAGGTGGCCCACAGCAGAGGTGGTGCTACCATCCAGCAAGTCCTGGGCAGGCTGGAGAGTTGGGCAGAGAGGAACCTGATGAAGTTCAACAGGGAGAAATGTAAGGTGCTGCACCTGGGGAGGAATAACCCCCCCAGACCAGCACAGGTTGGGGCTGACCTGCTGGAGAGCAGCTCTGAGGAGAAAGAGCTGGGAGTCCTGGTGGCCAACAGGATGCCCAGGAGCCAGCAATGGGCCCTGGTGGCCAAGAAGGCTTCTCCTGAGGTCCATCAAGAAGAAGGTGAGCAGCAGGTGGAGGGAGGTCATCCTGCCCCTCTGCTCTGCCCTGGGGAGGCCCTATCTGGAGCACTGGGACCAGTTCTGGGCTGCCCAGTTCCAGAAGGACAGGGAACTGCTGGAGAGGGTCCAGCAGAGGGTACAGAGATGCTGAGGGGCCTGGAGCATCTCTGTGCTGAGGAAAGGCTGAGGGACTTGGGTCTGTTCAGTCTGGAGAAGAGAAGGCTGAGGGGGGATTTGATCAACACCTCTAAATCCTTCCAGGGTGGGTGTCAGGAGGATGGGGCCAGGCTTTTTCCAGTGGTGCCCAGGGACAGGACAAGAGGGAACGGGCACAAACTTGAGTATAAGAAGTTCCACCTCAACATGAGGAGGAACTTGTTTGCTGTGAGGGTGTCAGAGCCCTGGCAGAGGCTGCCCAGAGAGGTGGTGGAGTCTCCTTCTCTGGAGACATTCAGCCCCTGCCTGGACACGTTCCTGTGGGACCTGCTCTGGGTGGCCCTGCTGTGGCCGGGGGTTGGACTGGGTGATCTCCAGAGGTCCCTTCCAACCCCATGTGACCTCCTCTGTGGTGTCACCCACCCCATCTCTCCTCCCAGGTGTTGCAGTATAAGAAGAAATGCGGCGAAGTGGAGCAGCAGCTGCTGGAGAAGGCAACGGAGCTGGAGCAGGAGAGGTTGACGGTGAGGGATGGTTTCGGGGGGTCCCCCTGCCCTGAAATCCCCCCCCATCCCCCCAAATTGTTGTGATGGTGAGGGGGCTGCTGTCCCCGCAGAGCCAGCTGGATGCCAGCAGCTCGCAGCCAGAGGAGGAGAGCAGCAACGAGCTGGAGAACGCCCTGATCCGGCTGGAAGAGGAGCAGCAGAGGTGAGTGGGGGTCCCTGGGGAGATGTAGGACCCACCCCCCACCCCGGGGGTGATGCTCTGGCTGTATGTGACCCCCCCCTCACCATCCCAGGAGCAGCAGCCTGGTGCAGGTGAACTCCATGCTGCGGGAGCAGCTGGAACAAGCCAACGTGGCCAACGCGGCGCTGAGCGAGGACATCCGCAAGCTGACGGCCGACTGGGCACGGGCACGGGACGAGCTGGAGCAGCGGGAGGCGGAGTGGAGGCGCGAGGAGGAGGTTTGGGGGGGATCCCTGGGGATGTGGGGGGTCCCAGAGATGTGGTAGGGAGGTGGTGGGGAGAGGGATGGGGAGATGTGGCGTGGAAAGGGATGCGGGGAGGGATGAAGGATCACTGGGAGGGATGCGGGGCCACCAGGAAGGATGTAGGGGCGTAGGGGGATGTTGCCCGGAGAAGAATTTGGGGTGGCAGGGGACGCAGGACATGATGGGAGAGGGATGCAGGGCAGAGGGATGCAGGGATGTGGCATGGAAAGAGATGTGGGGCCACTGGAGAGGGATGCAGGACCACCAGGAGGGATGTGGGGCCATGGGGGATGTTGTGCAGATAAGAATTTGGGGGTGCAGTGGAATGCAGCATGTGATGTGAGGCATGAGGGATGCAGCACATAAAGGGATGCAGGACTACTGGGAGGGATGTGGGGCCACGGGGGATGTTGCCCGGAGAAGAATTTAGGGGTGAAGGGGGTGTGACACACAATGGGAGAGGAATGCAAGGCAGAGGGATGCAGGGATGTGGCGTGAAAAGAGATGTGGGGGTACTGGGGAGGGATATGGGACCACCAGGAGGGATGTGGGGCCACGGGGGATGTGGCCCCGAGAAGAATTTAGGGGTGAAGGGGGTGTGACACACAATGGGAGAGGAATGCAAGGCAGAGGGATGCAGGGATGTGGCGTGAAAAGAGATGTGGGGGTACTGGGGAGGGATATGGGACCACCAGGAGGGATGTGGGGCCACGGGGGATGTGGCCCCGAGAAGAATTTAGGGGTGAAGGGGGTGTGACACACAATGGGAGAGGAATGCAAGGCAGAGGGATGCAGGGATGTGGCGTGAAAAGAGATGTGGGGGTACTGGGGAGGGATATGGGACCACCAGGAGGGATGTGGGGCCACCAGGAAGGATGTAGGGATGTAGGGGGATGTTGCCTGGAGAAGAATTTAGGGGTGAAGGGGGTGTGACACACAATGGGAGAGGAATGCAAGGCAGAGGGATGCAGGGATGTGGCGTGGAAAGAGATGTGGGGGTACTGGGGAGGGATATGGGACCACCAGGAGGGATATGGGGCCACCAGGAGCGATATGGGGCCATGGGAGATATTCATGGGGAAGGATTTTGGGGAGCAGAGGATGCGGCATATGATGGGAGGGTGACGTGAGGTAGAGGGATGCATGGAAAAAGATGTGGGAACGTGGAGAGGCTGAGATTGAAGCCCCCTGAGGCTGTGGGTCCATGGGGGATGTTGCACAGAGAAGAATTTGGAGGTGCAGGGGATGCAGCACGTGATGGCAGAGGGATGCAGGGATGTGGCACGGAAAGAGCTGTGGGGCTACCGGGGAGGGATGCAGGCCCACCAGGAGGGATGGGGGGCCATGGGGAATGTTGCACAGAGAAGAATTTGGGGGTGCAGGGGTTGTGGCATGTGATGGGAGGCAGAGGGATGCAGGAATGTGGCACAGAAAGAGCTGTGGGGCCACCGGGGAGGGATGCAGGACCACCAGGAAGGATGTGGGTCCATAGGGGATGTTGCACAGAGAAGGATTTGGGGGTGCAGGGGCTGTGGCATGTGATGTGAGGGTAATGTGAGGCAAAGGGATGCAGGAATGTGGCATGGAAAGGGATGAGGGGAGGGATGCAGGACCACAGGGAGGGATGGGGGGCCACCAGGAGGGATATGGGGCCATGGGGGATGTTCATGGGGAAGGATTTCGGGTGCAGGGGCTGTGGCATGTGATGGGAGGGTGATGTGAGATAGAGGGATGCATGGAAAAGGATGCAGGAACGTGGAGAGGCTGAGATTGAAGCCCCCTGAGGCTGTGGGTCCATGGGGGATGTTGCACAGAGAAGAATTTGGGGCGGCAGGGGACGCAGGACATGATGGGAGAGGGATGAGAGGCAGAGGGATGCAGGGATGTGGTGTGGAAAGAGCTGTGGGGCCACCGGGGAGGGATGCAGGACCATCAGGAGGGATGTGGGGCCACGGGGGATGTTGCATGGAGAAGAATTTGGGGGTGCAGGGGATGCAGCACGTGATTGGAGGGTGATGCAAGGCAGAGGGATGTCAGGATGTGGCCTGGAAAGGAACGTAGGGAGGGATGAAGGATCACTGGGAGGGATGTGGGGCCACCAGAAGGGCTGTGGGGCCACGGGGGATGTTGCCTGGAGAAGAATTTGGGGGTGCAGGGGGTGTGACACATGATGGGAGAGGGATGCAAGGCAGAGGGATGCAGGGATGTGGCATGGAAAGAGATGTGGGGCTACCGGGGAGGGATGCAGGACCACCAGGAGGGATGTGGGGCCACGAGGGATGTTGCACAGAGAAAGATTTGGGGGTGCAGGGGATGTGACACATGATGGGGGGCAACATGAGGCAGAGGGATCCATCCCCTACCCCTCTTTATGCGGGGCAGAAGGGAATTGGGGTGGGGGGTTGCTGGCTGTGGAGACCCATGGGGGTGAGGGCTGCAGATATGGGGGTGTTGCATGGAGATTTGGGGACCAAAGGGAGGGATGGGGGAGGTAGATGTGGGCCACCGGGGAGGGATGCAGGACCACCAGGAGGGATGGGGGGCCACCAGGAGGGATATGAGGCCATGGGGGATGTTCATTCGGAAGGATTTGGGGGTGCAGGGGCTGTGGCATCGGGGTTTTTTGGGGGGTGGTGGTGGAGTGGTCCTTGGAGATGGGTTCCTGGAGGTCCCATCCCACCTCCCATCCCTCTGGCTGCAGGGATCTCTCGGAGCTACGGCACGAGGTGTCGCGGGCGGGCAGGGCTGCCCATGCTGCCTGCCTTCACCTGGTGGCCAACCTACGGGTGGCCGAGAGCCAGGCAGGCGCAGCACACACATGATGGGAGAGGGATGCAAGGCAGAGGGATGCAGGGATGTGGCATGGAAAGAGATGTGGGGCTACCGGGGAGGGATGCAGGACCACCAGGAGGGATGTGGGGCCACGAGGGATGTTGCACAGAGAAAGATTTGGGGGTGCAGGGGATGTGACACATGATGGGGGGCAACATGAGGCAGAGGGATCCATCCCCTACCCCTCTTTATGCGGGGCAGAAGGGAATTGGGGTGGGGGGTTGCTGGCTGTGGAGACCCATGGGGGTGAGGGCTGCAGATATGGGGGTGTTGCATGGAGATTTGGGGACCAAAGGGAGGGATGGGGGAGGTGGGGATGCCGTGGGGTGGGGGCTGCAAGGCAGAGGTGACTGCACGGTGGGGGGGACACCAACACCTCTCCATCCCACCCGCAGTCCTTCAACACCTACTTCAGCAACGAGCACAGCCGGCTCCTGACCCTCTGGAGGCAGGTGGTGGCCTTCAGGAGGCACTTTGGGGAGATGAAATCCACCACCGAGAGGTCAGCAGCGGGGTTTTTTGGGGGGTGGTGGTGGAGTGGTCCTTGGAGATGGGTTCCTGGAGGTCCCATCCCACCTCCCATCCCTCTGGCTGCAGGGATCTCTCGGAGCTACGGCACGAGGTGTCGCGGGCGGGCAGGGCTGCCCATGCTGCCTGCCTTCACCTGGTGGCCAACCTACGGGTGGCCGAGAGCCAGGCAGGCGCAGCACGGGAGAAGCAGGCCATGAGGCTGGCACAGCTGGAGCAGCAGCTGGCAGCACAGGAACGGGACGCCGAGCTGGAGAAGGCCGCCTTAAACGCCAGGTATCGGGGAGTGGGATGGGTTTTTTTGGGGTTGGGGAGGGGTTTGACATGACCTGGAGGAGAGGGGATGGAGTGTCGGGGGGTTATTGGCATGCTGGAGGGCTGTGCCACCATCTGGGGAGACCTGGAGAGATGGGTGGAGAGGAACCTGGTGAAGTTCAACAAGTTCTCTCGAGGGGATTAACCCCCCCAAACCAGCACAGGTTGGGGGGGACCTGCTGGAGAGCAGCTCTGAGGAGAAAGACCTGGGAGTCCTGGTGGCCAACAGGATGCCCAGGAGCCAGCAATGGGCCCTGGTGGCCAAGAAGGCCAATGGCATCCTGGGGGGCATGAGGAAGAGTGTGATCAGCAGGTGGAGGGAGGTCATCCTGCCCCTCTGCTCTGCCCTGGGGAGGCCCCATCTGGAGAGAGGCTACAAAGATGCTGAGGGGCCTGGAGCATCTCTGTGCTGAGGAAAGGCTGAGGGACTTGGGTGTGTTCAGTCTGGAGAAGAGAAGGCTGAGGGGGGATCTGATCAACACCTCTAAATCCTTCCAGGGTGGGTGTCAGGAGGATGGGGCCAGGCTTTTTCCAGTGGTGCCCAGGGACAGGACAAGAGGGAATGGGCACAAACTTGAACATGGAAAGTTCCACCTCAACATGAGGAGGAAGTTCTTTGCTGTGAGGGTGGCAGAGCCCTGGCAGAGGCTGCCCAGGGAGGTGGTGGAGTCTCCTTCTCTGGAGACATTCCAACCCCCCCTGGACACGTTCCTGTGGGACCTGCTCTGGGTGGCCCTGCTGTGGCCGGGGGTTGGACTGGGTGATCTCCAGAGCTCCCTTCCCACCCCATGCCATTCTGTGATGCTGTGACATCCCTCCCCGGGGGGGTCTCCCCACAGGCTGGCAGAGCAGGCGGCGGCCCTGGAGCTGCTGCGGGCTGAGGACGGGGAGAAGGAGCGGGCGGTGGAGACGCTGACCCTGCAGCTGCGGAACCTGGTGAGCGCCCGGCACCACTGGACCTGGGGTGGGATGAGTCTGGGGGTGCAAGGGTGCAGGCTGGGGCAGGGGGCAGGATGCATGCAGGGGTAGGATGCATGCCAAGCTGTGATGCATGCAGGGGCAGGATGCATGCTGCATGCAGGGGTAGGATGTGTGCCAAGCTGTGATGCACACTGGGGCAGGATGCATGCTGTATGGCAGGACAGGATGCATGCCAAGCTGTGATGCATGCAGGGGTAGGATGTGTGCCAAGCTGTAATGGTGCAGGGACAGGATGCATGCTGCATGCAGCAGCAGGCTGCATGTTAACCCGTGATGCACACTGGGGCATGATGCATGCTGCATGGCAGGGCAGGATGTGTGCCAAGGCGTGATGCATGCAGGGGTAGGATGCATGCTGCATGCAGGGGTAGGATGTTTGCCAAGCTGTGATGCATGCAG